TCCCTTCGCTGGAAGGCGCCGAGCCGGACGTTTCGGACGCGTGCGGCAAAGTAAGTCCGCCCGACGTGCTGACTTACAAACAAGGAAGTGGTCCCCCTTTTATGTTTATATGCATCTGCAATTGACAAACGGTATTTTATGTGTCGCCGCGGGGACAACAGCAGCCCACCGTCCCCTGTCATTCGACGGGCCTCGGCCCCGCCTTTTCGAGACGCCGCAGCGTCCAATGTGAGGACCGGCGAAAGTAACTTGCCGTTGATCGCGGTTTTTATGTGGTGGGCGAGGGCCCGCTCGGGACGGTGCGTCACAGGGCGGCGCCCCAAAATCCAGCTAAAGCCAAAGTTGTGTCAATCGCCAGATCGCCGCCATTCGGTGGGACGTCCTTCTCGGTCGTTACGCCCGCCCGCCAATTGTTTTGAACATGCCCAATTTATTGAGAAACGACTCCCCGTGTGTTTCCTCCTCCTCTGCGCAGACCATTTCCTACGCTCAGTTCCTTTATCCGACCAACGCGTTGGCGAGAGAGCGGAGCCGCAGCGGCGGCGCGCCAGAAAGCGGCGCCCCTCCCACCCCGCCCACACGTTTCCGCGGGAGGGCGCCGAGGACCTTCACCCTGGCCCGCCTCAATAGCGCCGGGGCGCAAGAATTACGTATGTACACTTGCACCTCCCCATCATCGGCCACGCGCGACCTTGATCCCATATTCCGAAGATCGCGGCCAAATTGTCGCGAAACAGCCACTCTATCGTATGAGTTAAAACAACAAAAAAAAAAAAAAACGTCCAACCACCGGCGTCGACGCGTGAGTGACCGTCCAAAGTCAACATCATCTTTGCAAAGGCTCGGCATCACCGCGGCGCCGCCAGGTGTCGTTGCACGCGAGCGCCCGCGGTCTTGCCGCGCCGTCACCCCTCTTGGGACGGAAGGAGCCGCCGCTGTCGGACGAGTCACACGTTGTCGTCGCTTTCGTCTCAGATACGGAGGAGGCGGCGGCAGAGTACGACCCCGACCTGCTCAGTAGCCCTCGGTGGCCCTGCGGGAGACACAAGAGGGTCCTGATATTTGCGTCCTACGTGGTGAGTGTTGGCGACCGTGCCTCTCTTGCGGTTTGTGCTCCGACTACAAACGCTTGTGGTAAAAACGGGGCAATGTTGTGTGAGATAAAAGATGAAGGCTGCCAGGAACCCGTAATCCAATCCCTTACCATATCGAACACAGTGGGCTCATTTTAGTGACTATTCCAAGGTTACTTTGGACGATAAATAAACGGTATGCGGCGCAAGTCATTGATCAGCCCAGCAAATGGAGCTGCGTGCGTCGTTGGCACGGCGCCGGCCGTTGCCCTCCGGGTCCTCGTGCCGGCCGTGCCTTTGCCGATCCGCTTTCTCCTCGGGAGGGAACGTCTTTGGATTGGTCACTGGCCAATCGCACGGAGACGAGCGTCCGCCCGCACTTCACAATTTGGGAAGGTTGTGTTGGTCACCAAGAAGTAAAGGCGCCAAAACAGGACGAGAGCGTATCCGGAGAAGGAACTGCGGTGCTGGCGCCAGCAAGTCTGGAGTGGCGGAGAAGTCGGTTTGCGTCGTTCGGGATATGTCCCGGCGGGACAGTCACGGATGGGGCTGCGCTTCGGGTGGGGCGCGGGGGACGCATCAGGGGTCAACTCGAAGCCCCTTTCTCGTTGCACGGTTGAGGTTAGCAAATCCACTTGCATGAAGAAGGATGACACGCCGCGGCGGCGGACAAGCCGAAAGGAAAAGGAGAAGAAATGCATGGAAAGAATCCAGAATGTTTTGAGGCTCACGCTGATATGACTAACCCTTTACTTTTTCAATACCAAATTGAGATTTCTTTCAATCTGTTTCACTTCTTAGTGATGTTGACTGGCACGGCGTGCTGCTGGGTTTTATTTCTCAATTCGTTTCATTTGGGCAGGATTGTTTTCTTCTGGATGAGATGAGAGCGTCCTTATTTCAGGGTACTGTGTCTACTTTTTGGGACTTTGTCAGACGACGGTTATCGAGTACGTCAAACCCTCGGACCTGAAGAAGGATATGAACGAGACCTTCAAGGAGAAGTTTCCTCACATCCTGCTGACCCTCAGCAAGATCAGAAGGTATCAACGCGTCTTCAACCCCCCCCACCCCCTGAAGAAAGAAAAAAAACCCTCCTACTTTTCCTTGGTGTCAGCCTGAAGAGGGAGATGCGGGCCGTGAGCGAGGAATGCAGCCTCCAGCCGGTCACCATAGCGATGGCCTTCGTTTACTTTGAGAAGTTGGTGCTGCAGGGACGCCTCAACAAGGCCAACAGGAAGCTGGTGGCGGCCGCGTGCGTGCTGCTGGCCGCAAAGATCAGCAGTGACCTCAGGAAGCACGAAGTCAAGCAGCTCATTGAGGTGAGCGCTTGCTCCAAGTTCAATCATTTAGAGTAACGGTGTCCCAAAAAAATCTTTTCTCGGCTAAACGTCATCCGAAATTCCCTCCGTCGCACTCCTCCAACAGAAACTGGAGGAGCGCTTCCGCATCAGCAGACGGGAGTTGGTTCCTCTGGAGTTCCCCGTGCTGGTCGCCTTGGAGATGGGCCTCTACCTGCCTGACAGCAAGGTCATGCCGCACTACCGCCGACTGGTGCAGCAGGGCTAGACCGGAAAGCTCCTGCGCGGTTCAGAGGCGCGCCGGAACCGCCGGCGCGTGTCCGTTTACTGTCTTTCCACTTGGCACGGTTTCAGCAAGGGTTTGTCAAACTGTGACGTTGGGAGGCGAAGCCCTTGGAGCGTTTATTCCTTGATGAGCAGATTGACGTCCGCAACTACTACTAGTGCCGCCTTTGACCTTAAGGTGATATCAAAGATATGGGGAAGCTCGAATTTCCATACGGTTGTGGATTTTTGCACCTTGATGACCTAAGTCACGTTTTTTTTCTTTAAATATGCCTTTTAAACCCACTGTGACACGAATGCAGTTTGAACCCTGTGACGAGACGTTGACCTGTTGATTGTGGCACGTGACAACTTTAATGTATTTCATGGCAGCTCTGTGTAATGTTGTTTGCTGTTTTGTGCGCATGTGTATGTGTGTTGTGCACAAAGCCCCAGTGTGCATCACTGGCACTTATTTGATATCTCAGGAATTGTGCTCTTTGGCGCGCGTTGTCAGACGTGGACGCGCAAACATTAAAGTGCCTATGACTCCGGTGGCAATGAATTTGTTAGCTGTCGTGCCGTTTGTGATTTTTCTGTCCAAAGAAACGTTTGTGGTGTGAAACTTTTAAAAAAAGTGTCTCAGCTACTAAATATGTTGCTGAATGTTGGTGTAAAATTGTTCAAATAAATCAAACGTTTTTGTATTGTGTGAATGATTAAACATATTTTAAACGCAGCTGGTCTTGAATGGTTTTTATGATTTTGTAGCACAAATCGAAGGATTTTTTTTCATAGTTAGTGTTATGTTCAATAAAATACGTGGAGTCGGACTCTGTGCTCACTGTCGTTTATTCTCAGGAGACACACTTTATATCGCAACGCTTTTCGGCAACTGCCTGCTTTACGGTCGTGACGTCACGCCGTCGCAACATTACCCAATGGCTGTGGTTACATGCCACAGCATGCATTGCAAATTTGGACGGGACACGAGGGCGTGTCCATTTTCAGTCTGGTACGATGATATCAAAGTGACAAAAATGAATGGGATTTAAAAAAAGAAATGAAAAAAACATTGTTCACAAAACCGGTATCGCCAGCTTTTGTGATTTGAGACGATTCAACGGAACCAACACCAGATGCCGGGTTCCGCTGGTCACGTGACAACAACGTCACAAACAGGCGCCTCTTAAACGAAACTTCATTTTCCGTGACCACTTTCGTTCGACACGAGCTTTGAAGTCGCGCCCGTCACCAACTGCAGTTCATATTTTGGGTGGGAAAAAAATTCGAAGTTTTTTTTTTTGTTCTTGGCCTCATTAAAAAATAAATAAAAATCAACATATTAAATTGGCATTTAAACCAGGGGTGTGTCAACTCCATACACTGTATTTCAAAATAGAAAGATGGGGACACGCCTGGTTCTGTGGGTAATTATGCAATTTATAGATGCAAAAAAACTCTTTCCTAATAGGGTACTTCAACGTCAGTCTGTCAGAGACAAATCTTACCCTGTAAAAGGCCCTCGGACAGAGATGGAAAATAGGCACAGCGTTCAAGTGGAACACAAATCAAATTCTCAAGTTTTATTTTTAGGAAAATACTTTAGGTACATACAAGCTGTACATTAAACCTCTCAAGAAAATCAAGTCATCTTCCCGTGGGGGGAGAAGAAAGCTGATAAAATGAACAGATACAAGGCAGAATCGTTTAGAATAGAAAACAATTAACTCATCGAATGGCTTGATAAAATTGAGCCAGATCTTTTTTTACCCCCTCAATTATTGAATTGACCTAGAAACAAACTTTAAATCAAAATAGATTTTTTTCCAGCCCCAAATATTTACACTTTATTACCCCCACCCCAGGACATGGCCTAGTCAGTTTTTGCCATTTTTCTTATCAAAAGCCCAAAGGTTGCCATCTATTTATCAGAAGCAAAAGCGCACCGAGCGCAAGATGAGGGACAGCCGTGAAAGTTTGAGCGCGCACGTAGGGGGGATTGCGCAGGAGGCATTTTGGTTCCCTCCGTCGCACTCCTCCAACAGAAACTGGAGGAGCGCTTCCGCATCAGCAGACGGGAGTTGGTTCCTCTGGAGTTCCCCGTGCTGGTCGCCTTGGAGATGGGCCTCTACCTGCCTGACAGCAAGGTCATGCCGCACTACCGCCGACTGGTGCAGCAGGGCTAGACCGGAAAGCTCCTGGGCGGTTCAGAGGCGCGCCGGAACCGCCGGCGCGTGTCCATTTACTGTCTTTCCACTTGGCACGGTTTCAGCAAGGGTTTGTCAAACTGTGACGTTGGGAGGCGAAGCCCTTGGAGCGTTTATTCCTTGATGAGCAGATTGACGTCCGCAACTACTACCAGTGCCGCCTTTGACCTAGAGATGATATCAAAGATATGGGGAAGCTCGAATTTCCATACGGTTGTGGATTTTGGCACCTTGATGACCTAAGTCACGTTTTTTTTCTTTAAATATGCCTTTTGAACCCACTGTGACACGAATGCAGTTTGAACCCTGTGACGAGACGTTGACCTGTTGATTGTGGCACGTGACAACTTTAATGTATTTCATGGCAGCTCTGTGTAATGTTGTTTGCTGTTTTGTGCGCATGTGTATGTGTGTTGTGCACAAAGCCCCAGTGTGCATCACTGGCACTCATTTGATATCTCAGGAATTGTGCTCTTTGGCGCGCGTTGTCAGACGTGGACGCGCAAACATTAAAGTGCCTATGACTCCGGTGGCAATGAATTTGTTAGCTGTCGTGCCGTTTGTGATTTTTCTGTCCAAAGAAACGTTTGTGGTGTGAAACTTTTAAAAAAAGTGTCTCAGCTACTAAATATGTTGCTGAATGTTGGTGTAAAATTGTTCAAATAAATCAAACGTTTTTGTATTGTGTGAATGATTAAACATATTTTAAACGCAGCTGGTCTTGAATGGTTTTTATGATTTTGTAGCACAAATCGAAGGATTTTTTTCGTAGTTAGCGTTTACATAATGATTAGTGATAAATATGTAACAGAGAAAAAAGCTGATTTAAGGAGGCTTCATATGCAAACACCCCGGCCCTTGTTGAACCCTCAATTATCAAGGGTGGAACCCATTTTCAAACATGTTCCGCTACTTCAGTAACGAATGTGGCACTGCCTCTTTTAAATTGTGCTCACCCCTTTTGACTCCCCCCGCCCCCTTTGTTGTTGTTGACGTCCATGAGGAGATCAGCATTTCTAAAGTTGAGGGAACAATTGTTTTCATTTACAAGTTTAAAGTATTTTAATACATTGGCGTGCAACGTAATTTATGTAGGCGCTACGCTGTATCACCGTAATTGACGGGAGGACATTGTTTTCTACCGGTATCGCCAGCTTTTGTGATTTGAGACGATTCAACGGAACCAACACCAGATGCCGGGTTCCGCTGGTCACGTGACAACAACGTCACAAACAGGCGCCTCTTAAACGAAACTTCATTTTCCGTGACCACTTTCGTTCGACACGAGCTTTGAAGTCGCGCCCGTCACCAACTGCAGTTCATATTTTGGGTGGGAAAAAAATTCGAAGTTTTTTTTTTTGTTCTTGGCCTCATTAAAAAATAAATAAAAATCAACATATTAAATTGGCATTTAAACCAGGGGTGTGTCTACTCCATACACTGTATTTCAAAATAGAAAGATGGGGACACGCCTGGTTCTGCGGGTAATTATGCAATTTATAGATGCAAAAAAACTCTTTCCTAATAGGGGTACTTCTACGTCAGTCTGTCAGAGACAAATCTTACCCTGTAAAAGGCCCTCGGACAGAGATGGAAAATAGGCACAGCGTTCAAGTGGAACACAAATCAAATTCTCAAGTTTTATTTTTAGGAAAATACTTTAGGTACATACAAGCTGTACATTAAACCTCTCAAGAAAATCAAGTCATCTTCCCGTGGGGGGAGAAGAAAGCTGATAAAATGAACAGATACAAGGCAGAATCGTTTAGAATAGAAAACAATTAACTCATCGAATGGCTTGATAAAATTGAGCCAGATCTTTTTTTACCCCCTCAATTATTGAATTGACCTAGAAACAAACTTTAAATCAAAATAGATTTTTTTCCAGCCCCAAATATTTACACTTTATTACCCCCACCCCAGGACATGGCCTAGTCAGTTTTTGCCATTTTTCTTATCAAAAGCCCAAAGGTTGCCATCTATTTATCAGAAGCAAAAGCGCACCGAGCGCAAGATGAGGGACAGCCGTGAAAGTTTGAGCGCGCACGTAGGGGGGATTGCGCAGGAGGCATTTTGGCAGTTTTGTCAAGTCGAGTGTTCTTTTGGTTGAGGTCAGTGAGCCAGGAGGGTGATTCTTGAATCCTCTTCAAGCAAAAGGCCGCGTTACGGAATAGCAACCGCTGCATCGACGCAGCAGGCTAAACCCAAAAGCCAAGTACATCGGTGACGACGAGTCCAGTCTGCCGTGACACAACACAAGTGCAGCCCTGCAATCGCGAGTTGCTCCCGTCACCGACAGAAATAAGAAATAAAAGGGTTGGTTGAGAATAAAATGATCAAAGGTTTTCAAAGCACCCTCCACATCACGCCTTCTTCTAAAACTCTCTCATGGCATACAATCGTGGCGTTTTTAGTTACGGTTGGGAATCTTCCTTGGTCCGATCCCTCGGTCCAATTGCATCTTCTGACGCGGCTCTCGTTCGTCGCCTCTTCCTCCGAAGCTGGCGCCCGCGATGCCGAGGTCTGGACTCGTGGCCCAGTTTCTCAGTCCCGGCAGCCGATCGGCGCTCACTCATTGAGGGACAGAATGATGTCATCTTCGAGGTCAGAGTTGTCGGAGCTGTCTGCTTGAGGGTGAAAGAAAGAGGCGACTTACAAAGGCGGCCGTCAGTAGGTGAGTCAAAAGTGACAAACACAAAGCGCCATTAGCCGATTTCTGTGCCGCTTTTCCACTGGAAGAGAGGCATGCTGAATTGTTCGTGGGTGTCAATGTTCAAAGAGCCTCTATCGTGCTGTTTTAAGCTTTCAACGGTTAACTCGACACACACACACACACACACACACACACACACACACACACACACACACACACAAAAGTGTTAGGAGCGAGAGACACCGCACACCTCGAGGATTTTTTTCGTAGTTAGCGTTTACATAATGATTAGTGATAAATATGTAACAGAGAAAAAAGCTGATTTAAGGAGGCTTCATATGCAAACACCCCGGCCCTTGTTGAACCCTCAATTATCAAGGGTGGAACCCATTTTAGCTTTTACATAATGATGAGTGATAAATATGTAATAGAGAAAAAGGCTGATTTAAGGAGGCTTCATATGTAAACACCCCGGCCCTTGTTGAACCCTCAATTATCAAGGGTGGAACATCTTTTCAAACATGTTCTCCTACTTCAGTAACGAATGTGGCACTGCCTCTTTGAAATTGTGCTCACCCCTTTTGACTCCCCCCGCCCCCTTTGTTGTTGTTGACGTCCATGAGGAGATCAGCATTTCTAAAGTTGAGGGAACAATTGTTTTCATTTACAAGTTTAAAGTATTTTAATACATTGGCGTGCAACGTAATTTATGTAGGCGCTACGCTGTATCACCGTAATTGACGGGAGGACATTGTTTTCTACCGGTATCGCCAGCTTTTGTGATTGAGACGATTAAACGGAACCAACACCAGATGCCGGGTTCCGCTGGTCACGTGACAACAACGTCACAAACA